ACACACTGCAAACCATGTTATATTACATTTCCTACAGATGCCATTGATATTTTATTTCAGCCAAAGTGATACTTTGTATATGTGTTTAAGAAAGGGGTGGATCAAATGCAAAGACTGGAACCCATGTTAAAGAAAATCTTTGGAAAACCTTAGAAAATCTGAAGAACAACTCCCCCAAAATCACTTTAGCAGACCTGGCAACCCTCGCCAATGTACGACTACAGAGGACTACAGTGCAGAAGGTTAGGAAAAAATGTTGTTGTTTTTTTTAAATCAACTTTTCTCTGTTGTTACAATGAATACATTTCCTTGTTCAGCCTATGAAAGAAAGAAAAAAAACGTCTGCATGCAGAAACATACTTACGTTCATTCACTTTAAAGAACCACACATTCATATCACACACATTCCGCATGTATATTCATGGAAAACGGCACCATTACTGAATCATACCCTCAAATAAAAGAAAATTAAATAAATAAAAAAAACTCAACACTCATGAATATAGAGTATAGCGCAGATAAGAAAAAAGAGCCGGGCACTCTAAGCCTTCACAATGTATGTACTCTCGGCTCAAATAATATCCGTGGAGGCGGGTATTTGCCCACATGGAAAGTAGTTTGTCTGTGGAGAGTAGCACTTGTGCAGCTGCGGCAGTTGGAGCTGAGCATTCGGTGGTTCACTGGTCTGGAATATATTTGCAGAGGAAGATGGGTGAGGGAGGTTTACCCACACTGACTCTATTACCACGGAGGGAGTGGAAGACACTGGACTCAGGCCTTATGGTGCCGGGTGGAGGAGAGAAAGAAGGAAGGGAGGAGCTCTGAAAGAACAGGAGGGAGATATTAGGCAGAGAGGTCAGTTTGTCCATCCGTGGGTCGTGGTCTTATCTGTGGAGTGGCTCTGCCCGGCAGAGCCCACGTCTCCATGGCGACGTGCGGCCCCCTGCTTTCGTCGGGGCGGGGAGATGGAAGTGACGGTGGCGCGCTCCGTCTGGCTCATTATGCGGGGAATGAAGTGAAACAGCCGGGGGGAGCATTTGTTCTGCGTGGACTACCCTCTCAGCTGCCAGGCGTCCGTCTATTTATAGAAATAAAAATGAAGGAAGGAGCCGGGGAGGGAAAAGGGCTGAATCAAATAAGTCGCTTCTCGCCCTGGCTTTTTTTGCCCTTCCCTCACGTAGGACCGGTCTGACTTCTGTTGACTCATTAAGGTTGGAAAAGTTTAGGATGACCACAGCTGCGGGGGCGTTGACCATTCAAGATTATTTTTCATAACTGATGAATATGTTTTTATCAGTAATTCAGCATTTAAGAGATCAGGAATTAACATTCTAAACAATCATATTAGAATGAGATAGCAGTAATATATATATTAGAAATATCTTTTTTAATAAATGCAGCTGTGCTGTCAGCAGTTGCCCCACTTTCAGATTATTTTAATGAAAAATATAACATGTGGTGTCCTTGTGAGAACACTTGTCACCATTAAATCCTCACTGCTTCAGAGTCCAAATCTTTTAACTGCATTGATCCTAACACAGACGCAAGATGCTATATCTACCTGGCCTGTGGGGGGTGCAAAAGCTTAATTATGACGATTCATTGCTATGGATGGTCAGTTTATGGGCCGTTATTAGTTTAGGGGGCTCTAATAGCACCATCGATACCACCCCTGAAGCTTTTTCCGTTGCAATCCCAAACAGAGAATGCAGCTCCTGGTTTACGTCGCATCCACGGATGCCATACGGGGGGATGCCACTAGGGGGCACCCCACTGGCTGCTCAGACTGAAGCAGATTCTTGGTGACCAACAAATATTGTGAAGTAGATTGAATATAGGAATTCAGTATGTTTTTATCTACATTTTTTGACAAGTCAGAGTAGATATTTGTAAATATTGTGAGGCCTCTAAATCGCGACACAATGATGATACATAACATAAATCCATCCAGAGTAAGCGTAGAAAACACCTACATGTTGCAGATTGTGCACATGGGTTATAAAAACCAACACACCGCTGAGCACAGGTTACACAGGGCTGTCATTTATGTGTGGTTAATAAAGGTATTCTGAGCCAGACAAGCAGAATTAGCTCTTTTACCACCAGTGTTTGGTAGTGATTCTGTGCCCATTTTGTAAATCCACCAGTTTGGGCGCCCCCTTGTGGAATCCTCTGGCATCTCATTATGAGATGAGGTAAAACACAGGCTCAGAGTGTGAACTCTTCTAGGTCCTGTCATGTAAAAAAAAGGGGAAAAGGTTGAGCAGCAGAGGGGCCGATTGAAGCGGATATCAAAGCTGTTTTCTGCACCTCGCACACAGACAGGAATCGGAAATGAATTCCGCGGGGTGTGGGGGCTTAGTTTAAAACTTAATTTAACACTCTGTTGCGGGGACAAATGTTCTGAATGGAGCCAATGTCAGAATCTCTGAAAAAAGAAAGTTTATTCCATCTCTGACAGCTTCTAGCTGTTGAATGAACCCCAAAAAGAAAAAGAGTACAGACAGCTGCTGACATGGAGCAGAAGCATGGCCAGTCTGTTGGAAAAGCCAGGCCTTAAAGAAGTACTGAAAGAATTTTTGAAAAGCTGGCACATCAGTCCAATTTGAGGACTAACAGGAAGGTTCAGAGTGGCAATGAATGAGATGTAATATTTCAAATTTATGTGAAGGAACGGAATGATGTGTCTCTAATCTCTGTGGAAAACTGTCCTCTTGTGACATAATACCATGGGTAATTAATCATCTTCTGCTATGTGGGGGAGTTAGGGAAGGGGGGGGGGGGATTTTTTTCCATTCATCGAGGGCCAACAGAGCAGACTGCTTCGTCTGCAGAGTGTTCCCTCATCAGAGCTGTGATGATCTGACAGAAGCCTGCTTGTTTTCATTCACAGAAAAGCAAAAAAATCACAGGCTTGCAGATAAGAATGACACAGAACTCCCAGAGCTGGATGCGTAGCCTTTGAGACGGCCGTACAATCTCACTCTCGGCATTCCTTGCTTTCTGCCGCTCTTAAAACGATACGGTAAATATTGAATTCGGTTCCGGCTTTTTTCGGCCCCGTCCGATGAATATTTTATTCACACATCCTGGCATTAACGGATGAAACATTGAACAGCGTTTTTCAAATCTGTCAAACTCCCTGTGAAAGAGCGAGAGCCTGCAGGCCGGCCGGCTGGCCAGCCCCAGTTTTTTTTGGGCCTCAGCAGGCCCCTTTGCCCGAGCGCTGACCAGTCCTCCTCGTGTGGTTCACTGGGAGAGGGGCTCCTGCAGATGCTGTGAGGCAGTGTGGCCTCGCACAATTAGCACAGCTGAAAAAATATTCACCCAACACAAGGATGAATGAATACGACAGGAAGCGCGCTCAACGATGAGCCTGGAAAAAAAACAACAAAAAAGAACAAAACAGAGGAGCACGGGCTAAGGCCAAAGTCTGCGGATGGCTTTAAAAGTGAAACGCTCTGCCCCTATTTTCACATTCGACACAATTTTCTGAACTCTTAGAAGCCTGAAATATATCGCAGGAACACAGTAAATCGGCTCATTTCCCCCCTGCCTCTTCCACAGGGTGGGCCTCATTTGAGCCAGGGTTCAATTTCCCTCCAAGCCTGTGGTCACAGAGTGGCCTGGTCAGGAGGACCCCGTGGTCGCAGACTGGGATGGAGATGTGGAGAACGAGGCCGCCTGAAAGAGGGTTTCCTTCAGAGGGCGTCTGGGCTGGGACTCAGAGTCGGGACGAGGGAGTCGGCCATCTGTTGGGAGCTTTGGGTCACATCATAAGGAGTCAGCTAGTAAGGAGGCATCCTTTTCAGGCCCTTTTTTTTTACACCTCCCATCCCTGGCTGAACTGAAATCATTCTCTTCATCTAAAATGACCTCCTTGCAGAATAATCCACATCCTGGATTGGCCGAGAGTTTTTTCGTGGCGGATGCAGCAGAACCCCGGCCGTGCTTTAAATCTCTAAACGGTAAACAGCCAGTGCGGGATCCAGAAGAAGCGTTTCCTTCCCCCCTTCCGATATCACAAGACACGCAAATAAGAAGACATTTCAGAAACAAGCGATGATTCACACCAACACACAACAGGAGAGGCTGGATGTGATCTGCTGATCCGGTGACGAGCTCCGGATCGCATTGCTTTGTTTGTCAATCAGACACAGATTATCATTATTCAGCAGCGCCTGCTGAACAGGCTGATGGGAAAGCAACAACGGGCGAACAACACGCACCGTGCCCGAAACAAATAACCCCTCACACATGAGCTGGTATTCATTTCCATGTCCCGAACACAAATATGTGATTATGGAAAACGTGTCCCATGACAGTTTAGTGCAGAACGGGGGAACGTTCATCACATCTCATTGTCACACACAAAAAAAAAAGTAAAGTTATTTTGTTTTACCTGATAAACCAAAAAAAAAGGAAAAGGTAACACCATTTCTCTTTTAAAAGCAATCCATCCTGTGCGCTCAAAGTAATAACCGGCAGAAAAAAAGATTGCTGTGGAGGCCTGTAAAGCCCGAGGAAAGGCAAGGCTGTTGCGTCATTTCTTCTTTTTTTTATTTCAGCTTGTGACCACCTCCTTCAGCTTTTCTTTTAGTTTTTTTTGTTTCGAAAAAGCAAACGAAACAACAGCGACGCTTAGGAACAAGAGTAATAATTTATTGAGACACAGAAATCACATACATAATCCCCTCCCGTTCCCCGGTGTGGCAGCCCAGGTGCCACCTGCCGGCCCTTTGTTCCTCCAAAAGTCCTGTCGGGTTTTTACAGTCGTTTCGAAACCCGAAATGATTCATCCGTCAGAGGACAGGCTGGTCTCATGTGGCGAAAGCCGTCCCGAATTTGTTAGAACCCATTACAGAGGGTGCTTTGCCAAAAGATTTAGGTGCAAAACAAGCCAAGAGCGGACAAGCTGAGTCCAGGCCCTGAAGCCGCCGAGTCTGGGACCACTGTCAGCGGCGTCTCCACAGACCCCGTCGTGTCCGTTACTGCGTGTGTGTGCGTGCGCGTGTGTGTGTGTGTGTATCAGCCTGGAGACTCAGTCTGTTTTGCTCGGCCTGCTGCGCTGCTGCTCCTGGTACTCCCTCGAGTCCTCCCAGGGACGAGGACCGCGGATGTTCTTCCACTCATCCAAATTAATTCTCCTCAGCTTCTGTAGGGGGAAAAAACAACACCGCAAGACTTCAGACTGCAATTAGTCTAATATCAAAGGGGGGAACAAACAAACAAACAAAGAAAAAAAAACCTAAAGAATATCTGTAGTTCACAAACGACACGGTTTTTGGGTATTTCTTCTATGACTGTAAATCAGGATCTTTTGTCCCCGTTCGTGTGTCTCTTGTTGCAAACTCTCCACCACAATTTCATTATAATTACAGTTAGACTAAAAATGACCACTTTAGAGGAATGCAAACAGAAATATTAAGTCTACAAAGCGAATTATATCTCAAACTTTCATCTGGACAATCGTCACTGAACTTAGTTATGCAACATGAAAATCTAAATAACGCCTTTAAATAAAACAACAACGCGTCCATAACGACACAGAATGCAAACTCTTGAATCTGAAGGACCTTGAATGCAGCATGCCGGGAATGCAGCTCTGTGCTTGCTTCACTCGAAAGCATTTTAATGAATTGACTAGATTATCATTTACCTACCACCCCCACCTCAAATCAAGCTCCACCCGGATTCTCTGCTTACCTCGTACTCCTCCTCCAACATGACCGACTGCTTCTCCACGTTCACTTTAGCCTCCAGTGATGGATCCAGCTGAGGATGAAAAAATATGTTTTTTGAAAGGTTTATTGCTCTTGCTATCACAAGACAAAGCATGTTTGGATCTTTGATTTTACTGGAGTTTTATGTGGAAAAAAATCAGGAGGGAAAATGGTTTATTTGACTTATTTGACTTTATTTGATTTTAACAAAGATAAGTCCTTTGAGATGCTCAGGTCTCCTCAGAGCACTTATGACGGAGTCAGCTGAAGAGGATGGGAGGAATTTTTATGTCCACACCTTTTGTTAGGAGAAGCCCCTAAGCAAAGCCTGACTTATTCTCATCTGTGTATAAGTCCAGCATTTCCAAAACAGGACGAGATTCCCATTAAATCTGTACATTTGAAGAGAAAACCCAAAGGAGTCTGATCCAGAGAAACTCTCAGAACCGAGGATTCTAAATGATTTTTCTGCACCGACAGACCTGGAATAAAGCCCATTCAGAATCAGGAATACTTCAAAGCTTTAAAACCCTGACTGAAGCTTTTCAGAAGCCCGTTTTAGACTAGAGGAGGAAGGCTACTAAACCACATCAATGATATTTTTGCAGATGTCAAGAGCAGTGAGTTAACAGAAACTGCAATGTAACTAACACCCACTGCATTTCCAGCGGTGTGCATTCATAAAAAACAGAAAAATGTGGAACAACCAGAAGTGATAAAAGCCGAAAAATCTTTAACACAAGGCCAAAGAGCCTTAAAGATCACCCCTGTCTTCAGGCTAAATGAAACCCACTGAGGGGAAAAACAGAGACTGGACCACGCAGGATTTAATGTCAAACAGTGGTTTCAGTGACTTCAGTGAGCAAATATCCGCCAGAGCAAAATAACCTAATCGGCTGGTAATAATCCAACTAAGAGAGAGTCATTTTGCTCGTGCCTTTTCACAACCGCTGACATGGATTAAATCCCGTGCGTGCCCACGCGCCGAGGGGAAGAGGGCCTTTGCTCCTCGGGATGCGAGAGGCTGCGCGTGCCTCAGGCCCGGTCAGAGGGCCGGATGAGTGGGGGGGGCACAGGAAGGCACTGACTCCTTACAAAACAGCCGCTCTCCTGTCATTCCTAGAAATGGCCTGTCGTTTAAGGAATTGTTAGAGCAATCGAGTTGACTCGCTGTCAACGAGATGGAAACACCTCTAGAAACTGTCGGCCCTCAGAGTGAAGTTCATCTGCCAGATTCAGCTAAAAAACAAAAGAATTTAATTAAAATTGAAACCCCTCTCTCCGTGTGTATTATCTTTGAAAGGGAGCACAGGCAGATAAATGTTGTAATTTTAGTTCTAACCACTGGGAGGTGTAACCAAACCCATAATAATGTGTTATATGGAGATTTGAACACACTAGTACAAACCCTTTTCCTGATCTTCTGGGCATCATATCGGATTTGTGTAAACTCCCGAAGGCCAAAGGAGCCACCAACTACCAGCAACTAAAAACAAAAGCACAAACATACATCTGGGGTTAACAGCCGATTCACAAGAATTTTACAAGTTCTTTTCTGACTATGCGACGACCCGGTTAAGAAATGTACATCCGGAAAAAGACATGCGTATTTTACAGCTTGTCAGTGCAACCACAACAGCCCGGGATCTATAAGGGCAAAAGACCATTTACTGCTTTTTGCAAGATAATCTTTACCTGAATCTGTACGATAATGGTTTTATGACCCAAAAGCTGAAACGATGTATTTCAAGCTGTATGAAAACACGTTTGGTAATATCCAGAGAGTGGGCAAAATAGCAAAACGCTTGCTTCTATCACACTAAGATTTAGTACCCATTTATTAAAAAAATTAAATTAATCAGACAGTTCATGATGTTACATCTTTATTAACTTTAAGCGAGGAAAGTCAAGTGTTGCGTGATCATATAACCAAGTGGCTGCAATGGGAGCTTAGCATCCTTTCGTTTACGTAAACATGATGTAACACACGAATGTTACTTACAAGCATAGGAACTCCATATTTGACCGTTTTGTTTTTCTTTAGAAATTTTAAAATAAACATGACGCTTCCCTCTGGCTAGAAACTCATTTTACGGAGAGTTCAAACCAAGCAGGTCACAGCTGAGTCGAGCTTCCTTCAAGGGTCCAGCGCGCTATAAAGTCCGTGTCGATACATTAAAACGGTCAGTGGTTCCCGTGCATGTGTCATTCGTACACACACATATATACATTATTAGATTAATATTATGTTAAATCATGAATCTATGATTATCATTAGTATATATATACACTAATGATAATCAGAGATTCATGATTATATATATATATATATATATCCACTCCACGTCCATGTGGTAGTGTGTGAACAATTGAAAAAGGAAGGAACTCCACCTAAAAAGCTTCTTTAATAAAAAAAAGTTATTGTTAAAAGTTATTAACAGCTCAAAAGCTTTTTAACAATAACCAAGATATATATGTACCTTGTACTACATGCAACACCAGCTTTTTGAAAGTGAACATTTATGCAGATGTTTTGAAAATTACAGATTCCTACATTTGAGTACAAAATAACTTTTATTCATTTGAATAATGTAAAACATTCAGCAATAAGTAAAGTTACAAATTATCCTTTTTTGAGTCTTGGATGTTCAGTATAAATTTTATCCCAGTCCTGTGAAGAATGTAGGATAAATTAGGCTTTGAAAAAAAACTGTCACAAAGCGAAGAAGTTCCTGTTCTGCTCATATATAAATCTGTTGGCTGTTTAAAATACTGCACACAACATAATGAATTCTAATTGCATCGAAACCAGTACCAGAGTGCTAAACGGCTTCTTTAAGTTTTTGTTACAAGCTCAACAAATATGACATTTAGAAAAAGCAAACATGCTAAACTGCAGGTATCCAGATGCATTATTCTACACTTACCACAACTGTTATTGTCAACACAGCAAATCTCTGAACTTGACTAAACTATCTGTGCAGATTGTTATTCAGAGGAAGCCTCATGCTGGTTTGATGTCCAGAAACGGTACAACACACACACACACATACAAAGGAAACGCTACATTCCTCAAATCTTTCTCCCAGCTCTTCTTTATGCTTTTTCTTACCTGCTTTTCCATTGCCTGTGAGAATCTACAGCATTTTCTATGTGGTCTCACAGGAATACCATGACAAGTTGCTCTGGGTCAGAGCTCGCTAAATGCACAGAGTGCAAGTGTAAACTCAATAAAAACTACATGAAATACACCCTGCAGTAAACAGAATTAGAGGAGATAGTATTGCAATCTTTTCTTTATTACAATTTTTTGTCTCTTATTTCAATCAGGTGAAGAAAAATACCTTTTTTTGTTCAGTATAATAAAATATGTTAACTTTATTCATTTTCTGAAGAAAAACATGACAACAAGAAAAACAAAAATAAAAACAAACTTTTTTTTTTTTCCCTCTCCCTCTGTAAACCTGGAGAGTGGCTGCATCACGTGGGAAGCAAACACAACGGTGCCGGAGAGTGTGAGGGATCAGTGACAGATGGGAGGAAAAGCATGAGGACACAGAGGATACTGACAAAAAAAAAAGAAAAGATAAGGCCAGAAACATACAAACAAAAGAGTTTAGCGGGACAGGAGCGCGGTGATTGGGCGGGCGGAGAACATGGAGGGGATGGGAGCAGGTAGGCTGGTGGTCCCCAGTCAGGACGACTGACAGAGTGTTCAGAGGTCGCTCTCTCCGTACAGAGCAGTGGAGAACGACATGTAGTCGAGGGCGCCGGGGACCGCGTCAGGGCCGGTATAAGGGGCCATGCGGGCAATGCAGTAATCGGCCTGATCTGGAGGCAGCTCCCGGCGCAGCTCATCCGCTAAGATGTAGTTCTAAAAAGGATCAGAAAAGCAGAATGACATGCGCTTCAGTTAGAATAGTGTCTGTAGGACAATAGAGTCTCTACCTAGAAGCAGCATGAAACATACACTCTATACATACATTATCACTCTAAGCTCAGGTTGGCCCTTTAGCTGTAAGAAATAATGTAATGTAGCTTTCAAAAGCATCAATGATTTGGATGTTTTTTCTGCCTGAAAATGTCACAAAATAAGTGGTTAATTTGCATTTTTTGTCCTTCGACAGAGTTGATTTGCGGAAAAATTTGTAAAGTTCATGAATAACTAAGAAATACAAATTTTAAAGATGTACTGCAAACAGTTAGCATGCTCTGCTAAATGATGTTAAAGGGGATTTAGTGACCTTGGCTTTAGCCCAGTAACTAAAGTCCACGCATGCCGTTTTTCTTCTGGAACACTCACTGCAATGTTTTGTTTTCCAGTTTGTCTGGTAGATTTCCGTTAAAGAACCCAATAAAAGCTCAGTTCAGTTACATTTGCAGCTCATTTAAAGAGGAGCCCGTTTAAGTGGCCATGCTGTGGGAAGTAACTCGGACATATGGAGAGCACTTTGGAGCAATTCCTCCCCACTTCTTGTGCGACGGAAAGTTTGTATGCTCTGAGCTTAATATGGTGACCTTGCTTATTTATATACGCCGCAGATCTCAAATCTCATATTCCCTCTGTTCTTTTCCCCTTCGGGTAAATATGTGACTGAAATGGTTATTCGAGATTGTCACTTCAATCTGTCTGCTGTTGCTGGGTGGGTAGTGTACTTCATTTTCAGTTCAGTTTAAAAATATCTGCCTATCGGAGACCGTGGCGGAGAAAAACAGGCTAGTTGTGAGCCAGAGATATACAAGAGAGAACTCAAGTTATGGTAAACGGCTCTCTTGATGATTCTGTATTGAAGCACTGTACCTTGTCACCCGCAAGAACTTTGAAGGAGGCCATGACCTGGTCGGCTGTGTCCGTGTCGGCCGTCTCCCGGGACATGAAGTCGATGAAGGCCTGGAAGGTGACCATGCCCATTCTGTTGGGATCTACTATGCTCATGATGCGGGAGAACTCATTCTCACCCTGATGGCAACAGAGAGAGAGAGAAAAATAAGTTACCATAGTGACACAGCCTGCTTCAGCACAATAAAGGAACACAACCAATGGGAAACATCTCAAATACAAATATAGAAACAAATATTTCCTATGTTTGGTGAAACAGTTTTTTCAGGTTCTTTTTTTTACATTTCCAATCATCTGCATTTGTAAGTAATTCAGCAGCTTTAATAAACATGGACATACATAAAAACTGGATCTATATATATTCACAGTTTTATAGTTTGGTAGAAAAATAAGTGATCATCCATTACCATTTCCAAGGGCATTTCCTAATCACACACATGTTCATACTTGAAAAGTGCTCTTTGCTTTACCAGGTTGTAACCCATGGAGATAAGGCAGGTTTTGAAGTCTTCAGCATCCATGATTCCTGTTCTCTTCTACAAGGTCAACGATGGACAAAGGAAAGCGGGAGTGGAGGAAAAAAAGATACAGAGGAGGGGCAGGGAATGCAGAGGAAGTCACGAAAAGCAAGAAGGTTGAACCAGGAGGATATTTAAGCAAGAAAAACCCACACATTTCATGTTGTGGAGGCAGAGGAAAACCAGGGAGAAAATTCAGACAGGGAGAGCAAAGACAAGAACAGAAGGGGGGCAGGGGAAGAATGGAAGAAAAAGAAAAGAAAAGAAAAGAAAAGAAAAAAACAAACAAACAAACAAACAAACAAAGGAATTAAAACTCTCGCCACGGGTGTGTGGCTACGATAAAGTACCTGTGCGTCGTTGGCGATATCGAAGCCCAGGCTGATCAGGCAGGCCTTGAACTCTTCCGCGCCCAGAGTGCCCGAGTGGTCCTGGGGTGTGTGTGTGGGGGGGGGCCAGTGCCAGGCGAGGCGTCAGGGCCACAGGCCATGCAGCAACACATACAGCCGTGTCAGTGACCGTGAGGTGAGGAAGGGGGGGTGGGGGGGGAGAAGGAAGGTGGAGGGAGTGCACCATGCACGAGGTGGGAGTGATATGGGGGTGGGGGGCATGCACAAGAGATGGAAAACAGAGAACACAGTGCATATACGTTAGGATCCGGCAGGTGAACACACGCTGGCAGCTGAGCTGCCATGCTGGGCCGAGGCATTCGGAGGCGTTAATGTGGCGTGTGGCAGGCAGACTACGAGGCCCTGGGGTGAGTTATTCACGTCGCTAAAAAGGCACGCGGACTCCACGCGTGCGCTTGGAGGCGGAGGCATCTCTTTGACGTTAAAGCAAAGGGATGCTTCACAGCAAAACGCTTTGGCCCCTCCCAAGACGTGTAAACATTCCAGTGCTTGTGCATCTACCCGTGACGTAGTGACCATAATGACAGAGTGCAACCAAAACTTTGTCTCATTTCAGAAATGAATTTGTCTGCCCGTTAATATTCAGAAAACAGTTTCTTAAAAAACCTGTGAAATTTACCATCAGAAAAAAAGAACTTCCAATTGACTGGGTGTGGCCAGTGAATGTTTCCTGTATTTTAACCAACTGTAAAGTAGCCGTGTGGTTTATGTGATAATGGTAAATTACAGAGAGTGAACTCCTCGCTGACTATCCCACCACATTTCCTAAACATGTTCCCTTTCTTGCACATGGTTTTTTTATTTTTTATCTGTGTCTTTAGCTTTATCCATTTTCCTCTCATGTTTCCAAACAAATGAGGCCGTTATATACGAGACAAGTTTCGTTCTGCCTCCTGTGAGCTCTGTTCCCTGAATTCAGACATTTATTAATGGAGCAGCCAGTTTGGAAGAACGCATTAGGTGACGGTGGAGTTAGACAGTGAGCTAAATAAGACCTCATCCATAATTGGTGCTGTTAGCCACATGTTTGCCCCCAGGGGTAAACACTAAGCTCAGTGGGAACAGGGGGGGGGGGCAAAGCTAGCAGCAATCGATGTGAAGCTAATTCTGTTCGACCTGTTCCGTGTTTCATTGTGATTTAATGTATGATAAAAGCATTTAACTGAGGTCGGTGGTTTCCCTGAAAGCATCCGAGGTTTTTCAAGGTTTCCGTGCCCTGACACACTCCAACACACTGAACGCTACACGCGCTAAATATTTTAATCTCAAGTTCTACTTCAGGACGGGTCTTGCACCCATAACTTATATCCTCTCACCTTGACTTCTTTTCTTTACTGGTGCAGTCTAAATATGCAAAAAAAACATTTGTGATCCAGAATGAGACACACTGTCGCATAAAAGCTGAGTATTTGTTTTCTTGAGTTAGTCAGTTAGGCTGACTGGGCTTACTACTCTAACAAAGATAACTAGCAAACCAGGATGTCATTTTATTGAGCCCGGCAGCATCTGATGAAGTGGACATTAAACAGATTGTAACTATAGAAACAATGACTCGCCTATTAGAATGATGCTTTAGATGCTTTAATTTAATCTGTAACATACGTAGTTTTTAATTCTTTCCACATAAAGTAATGGGGACCAATCAGAAATCATGAAGTGCAGTGTCTGATTGGTTGCATCATTCAATCTTATATGAAAAAAAAAAAAAAGACGGGGTGTTTGAGGGCTGCTCTGTGTCTGCACAGTGATTCACTACTGACCCTGTCGAAGTGGTTGAAGGAAGCTCGGAACTCATTCAGCTGCTCCTGGCTGATGCCTTTGGCGTCCCGCGTCAAAATCTGGTTCTCGATTTCATTGATGGTGCGGGCGATGGTGGTGAGTAGCTGCTCCCAGCCCACACGGATGTGCTGCAGGGCAGAGACAGACAAGGGCTTTCAGAAGAGAAGGGAAGAGTCCCAGGGGCCGGGCACGTTGTGGTTTTGGTAGGAGAAAAAAATGTGGTTGTAAAAGATTTTTTAAGTGTTTTTTGTTTTTTTATTCCTAAGTAAAAACTTAAAACTGGGGGCGAAATCAATATGTCTGACTGGGCCTGTACTTAAAAACTTCCACATAAGTTATCATTTTTGATGATGCAGTCTGGCAACTGGTTGTTCTTTTACTTTGCACGTGCCACCCAATGACCATACAAATTATGAAAAAATGATAACTTTAATTCTCCCTCACTGCCTGTTAATCAGCCTTATATTTAAAAAATGACATCTTCAAGACAACAGTTTTTTCTTACCATTTGTGAGTTACGGTTAAAATTGGGGATGTTCTGCAAATTATTTGTCGGAAAGTCCAGAAAAAAAGACCAAAACAAACCGAAACTTAAATTCTTGAAGGTTTTCCTACGGTTGTGTTAGCAAACCAAAGCCAATTCTGAAACCATGGCACCACACAACAAAGCAGAGTATTGGCAGGATCCACCAGCATGAGCATGTCAGACAGACAGGGGGGGGGGTTTTTTAGTGGGCAATGACGTTAAGAAGGTTCACTTGGTCTCTCCTTGAACGGAGCAGGGAACTTGACAGATGTCTCGTCTGGGCACGTTTACCTCCATGGTGTAGTTGGTGTGCTTGTTGTCAAAGATGAGGGCTTCCTGAATGAGCTGGTGGTCTCCCTCCAGCTGGTCGATCTTTGGCTTGTAATTGACGATGCTTTTCTCGTACTGGCGCAGGTGTGTCAGCTGGTCCTCCAGGGTGCCGTGCATCTCGATTGAGATGAGACCGATTTCCTGCAAAGGCACAAACGGGCCACATTGCTTCGTTTAACTCACAGGGAATTGTTTCTGCTGATGTTTTAAGTGCCTTTTGGACTTAATCGTGTCTTGAAGAAAAGGCCAAGGAGTCACTAAAGTCAACACAAAAAAAATTCTCTGTCGTCACGGCGCTGGCCTCATTTTGAAACTGAAACATGTTGTTTATCTTTCTTTCTTTTTCACTCCTGCCTCGGTTCACACTGACCTCCATTTTGGTCTGGATCCACGGGCCGATGACATTGGCCTGGTTGGCAAACTGTCTACGCAGACGCTCGTTGTTCTGCTGCCGGGCGTGCTCTTCAATCAGAGCCTGGTCACGCTGAGGCACCAGCTGCCTGACCTACAGCAGGCAGAGGGACAGAAAAAAGAACCGATTCAACTTTCATCACAATGCAAACTCGTAGGTCTGTTTTATAAAAATAAAGATGGTTTTTTTTTAGAAATAAAAATGCAATAAGATTTAGTTTCTTTTTACTTTTCATGAAGACACATTCAACAGAAACAGAATATGAAAACCGCTTAAAATAATACTACTTTACTCTAATTCACTCAATGAATGTGTGGTTTGCCATGGCTGTCAATTTCTCAGAGAGTTGAAAGGCTCCTAAATCCTAACACTAAATTCCGGCATATCCTGACAGATCTATTAAAAATTTAGTGCAAGTTTAAAACCAATCCAGTAAAAAATAAATAAAAAAAGGAGAGAGGGGGAATGTTGATATGTAGAGAAAACTGCAAGTAATCGGAAAAACATTCATTCATATGTGAAACGAGTATTTTGAGGAGAGCTTTGGGATTTTTCAAAACCTCGTAACGTAAGATAAGTTTTACATTAATATTTCAAGAATATTTTAGAATGTGAACATGGGGAGCTATGTCAGTTTCCATGAGGTACCCCCATTTACAGTTGGACAGTTTTTAAAACTTAAGGCTCTGAATTATTGAGTTAGAGGTCTGTGTCCATCAAAATACACCTTACTTATTTTCAATGCTGCATAATACTGAAATATTAAAAGCAATAAAAATCATGATGTAACAATACAAGCTTTTTCTGTCATGCTGTGATGCTTATTACAGACTCTTGATCTGTGCACCATTCCATGGCTTGAATTATTCAACCAGGTAATGCTATTTTCATCAGGGTCTTTTGGGCTTGAGCTCTAATTGAACAGAGAGAGAAAGGGGTACCGACAGCCTAAATGGAGAATTCAAACTTAATGAAGTATATGAATATTGAAAATATTACCTTGTCCCATTTGGCATTAATCTCCTGTGGGTTGATGGTGGTGTAGGGGTTGGTGCCAGCTATATTCACATGATAGGTCTGCACAATTTTGGCAATTTCATTGTGGATTCCGAGGATGGCCTGTCGCTCTTTGTCAGCTTCTGGCAGTGTGGCTTTAAACTGCTCGTGGGCTGTGCTCAGTCCCTGAGGCGCAAAGGACACATTCAGAATGCAAACCAAAAGAAAAGTATTTGTTTTTATCTATGTATACATTTTTGTGTTTTTCTCATTTAAACAAGCGTCAGCTTTATTCAACTTTATGAATTTACATGTTGTTACTTGCAAACTTTGAGAGATTTAACTTCACATTTCTTTTTTTTCGTTGGATTAAAAAAGGTCAAAGCCCCTGTGAGAGCTTAAAATATACAGGATAAAACTGAACGGATAAAACTGAACGGTCCATAAGTAAGAAAATAAAAAAATGCTTCCAAGGAGCAATTTAAACAATTTTAGGGGTAAAGAAAAAAGTCTCTTTCCTTTCCCAGTTTAGCCTGCCCTGCTTACCTGGATTTCTTCGATGGTGTGGACGATAAACGTGTCCTGCAGGTCCTCCATGGCGCCCTCCATCCAGTTGTTAAATGGAGCCGATCTTTTGGCAAACTCAAGGTAAAGTTGGTCAATAGTTTCAAGCAGCTTCTCAGTTCTCTGTTGAACAACAAAAAAATGCATACAAACCTGTTACTTGGCTACATTTTTTGAGGGGCAAAAAATCAGAGGATTGATCATTCACAACGCAGAGGGTCATGCCTTCACAAATAATACATCCACACTTCAAAGAATTTTCAAAGCTAGCAGGAACTCCCTTCACAGACTCTAGCTGGGAGGTAAGCAACATAAAAAAAGGAACTTTAAAACAGGGTAAACAAAGTCTGCGGTTTAAGACAACCAACTCTTGAAAAACTTTTTTACTTCTCAGATCCCCTCGGATTGAAAGTTCCAAAATGTCTTCTGTCCAACGTTACCTGCAGTGCCTCGCTGCGTTTCTGGGTCATAGCTCCCAGTGCGTCCCATTGATCGCAGATCCGCTGGCAGCGGGCATTAACGCTCGGGGAGTCGTAGTAGTCCAGCTCACTGGAGCAAAAAACAGAGAAAGACACAGAAGGGACTCATTATAATGTGCTTGTGGATCCGAGCAGCTTTTATTCCTATTGGCATTTGGGTTGTTCCCGGCTTTTGTCTCGTACTTTAACTCCTGTGCGATGGCTGCTATCTGCTCCACGCGGTCCTGGTGTGCAGCCAGGTCGCTCTCGAAGGCCTCGTGTTTCTTCAGCAGGGCCTTGATCTCTGACAAAGTTGCCGTCTCGTAGTCCCGTTTCTGCAGCATCTCCTCTTTACCTGCAGGGGGCGACACAGAAAACGGACCAGAAATGATGGAGGGAACATGGTCCATGCTGCTCCTTAATAAGTTGTAGACTGGTATGAACAAGCAGCAGTTACTCAGCTTATAGAAGTACTTCCTTATCTATAGGCTGTCATTGTCTTTAGAAGTTTTGCTAAATATAGGAGCAAGTATTTTTGAAGAATTCGTCAAAACACTCTTTACCCTCTGTCCAGGCTTCGTGGATTTCTGCTTTCTGGCGGAACTTCTCGGCCAGGTGGTCGAGTCTTTCCAGCCTGCGTATCTCATTGAGGAGCCACTCTTCGTAGCCCTTCTCGGCTCCCTCTAGATTTCCCCATGCATTGTTAATGTCCTGTGCAGTGCCGAGGAGAATACTTCAGAATTGTTTAGCCAAAAAGCATTCCTAAGCATTGCTGTGACTGCAAAGATGTTTACTTTTTGTGGTCGGAGTCTAACTGTGAACAGCAGGTCAGCCAGTAAAACAAAGGTCTTTGTCAGAAATACACATGGATGACCGTTTCCAGAGAAAGACATGTTTAATCAAGTGTTTTCTGGGACCTTATTCATTGTAAAGTCCCTGTGTTTGGTCCCTCCACAACGTCACAGTTCAGCCTTTAGTATTTGTATTTTTCTCTTGATTGTGATTTGCCAGCAAAAAAAAAATTCTGACTCAATTGAGAGATGGGACATTTGAGAGTAAACTAGAAGTAACATTACATAAACCGGAATTCTTTTGGTCCAGTAATTCATTATATTCCGATCCATTTTTGAAATACTCATAGCTTGACTGCATCCCTTTGGTAACTGTTTATGACTTTTTAAAAGTTTCACAGGGATTGCGTTTCAAACTTCTTTTAGAATTTCAATTATTTGAGGCTGAATCGAGACAAATCGCACAAAATCCCGTAACTTACCGAGACCATCTTTCCCTCTGAGGGCATGAAGGCGGGCCTGTTGCTAAGCCTCAGTTTGGTCTGCAGGGTGTTGAAGTTGATCTCCAGCTGGCACTTCTCTTGCACCTTGGGCGGCTTGTGGAGACGGCGGTAATCTCGGAAGTCCTCCAGCTTCTGCTGCATGGCCTGCATGGTGTTCTCGGGCAACCGGTTTTCTAGCCACGGGATGGTGCGGCGGATCCACTCCAGCAGCTGAGGTGTTGGTGGCGTTTGGCCGTGAGTGTGTGAATGTGTGTGTGAGTGTGGGAGTGCACACATGGTAGCGGGTGAAAGTAACAGAGTTGAAATGGAGGGAAAACAAGTCGATGGAAATTAAGGGGGCGAGGAACAGCAAAGGGCAAAAATGAAGATTCATGAACCAGAAAGGGATGAAATGCAGTGGAGAATATGTAATAATGAGTGAGAAGAGAATGAAAGTAATGATAATTGGTTAGTTTCTTGTATCATTTTTCTTTAAACCACAGGTAAATGTAACAATTCTGTCTCATTTTGTTGCTTTTTGTATAACCATGTCTAAGAGTTGTTAAAACACATTTCTAAATTTGCCTGTAAAAGGAAATCCATTATACTTCAAAGTAGTCCATTTTTCCCCCTGAAATGTACATTTTGCCATTTTAGAAGCCTTCTTTTTATTTGTTTTTGTGAACATGCTATAGAAGCCATGATTTTAATATACCTCTGATCTAAAATAAATTGTTAATTCAAAAGATAATTTCTACGTTTTTCTTTCCATCTAAGACCTGTATGAAAATAATACCTATGGCCTCACCATTATTCAGAAAGAGGCAGGAACTTAGTTTAGCTGCATGACTGGAAATGTGTATCGCTAAGCTGGTTGAAACTGTTATGTTCTTGAAGATGCTCCAACGTGCAGAATGCTATTCTAATGCGATTAAAGTCACTTCTGACACAGAACAGCACTTTCTGCCTTGTCTTCCCCTATAAATTGAGCACAAACACCCCCGGGGAATGGAAGGCGGGAGGAACGGCTCAAAAGGATTGGTATGGAGAAAGGGTTGGTACACAGCAGTGCGGGCAATTATAGGAAAAAAGTGGGGTGTGCTCACGTCACTGGCCAGCTTCTCATAGTCCTCCATCAGCTGCTCATTCTCTTGGTTGACAGCCAACACCTTGCAGATCCTGTTGGCTGCCGTCTCAGCCTGGATGACGAGGGGCGAAGGGAGAAAAGGGGTGAGGCGCAGAGCTGAGTGCACATTCTAAGCCCTGGTGCCACCTATTATGTCCAATGCATCTATCTAGTGAATGCTCGGCAAACTTGGGGATATTCATTTCAACTCTTCCTGCCAGTTGGCTGAAACCATCCGTCCGGTCCTCAGGAGCCGTCAAGTTTCCCAAATTAGTCATTTTTCTGGGAATGAAGCAATACATCAGCAATAGTGCTGCACAAAAACTATTGTGGTGTGTTGCATTGTCAGATATATTAAAAGGGCCACTGCACTGACGGTCAGTGGTGTGTGGCCCACAGGATGGACTCACAGGGGTGTAACAAGGACAGATCAAGCTTCCATCAAGTGTAGGGGCCATTTCTCTCTGCTACACTGTCTAATTATAGCGGTGTTTTTCTTTTCCACCTACATTTACATTGCCTGGACTGTGGAAATGAGATGTAAGACCTTGTCTGTGGCAGGCTGCCTTTAAACAGTCTCTAAACGTTTGTCACTGGACTGCTGATGTGCAAGTCCAGCAGCACTGCTGTGTCAGCATGTTTTCAGCTGAAGATGAAAATGAGGCAATTAACATGAACCGAGAGCAACGGCAAATATACACACGGATTTAAGCGGCATGCATGAAGTTCAGAAAATATGCAGCAGATTTTAAGCTGAGAATTGAAGCAAACGTTTCAGACTTCTCATCCAGAATTAAAGAGGGCTGCCTGATGAAAGAGAAGAAAGAGCCCTTTTACAGAGATGCAGCCGGCCGGACTTGAAAATTCCCTCTTAATTTTGACCAACGTTCAGAGAACGGCAAACCACTGCTTCCAGCCTCCTTTGTGCAGAGATCACAGAGGAAAGTTGGCCTGGTTGGAGACGTGCTCCGGGGCTCCGGCAGCAGCAGACGAGCTGCCTTAAAAGGAGAGCCAGGATGTGCAGGTCGTGCTTCTGTGAGCAAATGTTTGTGCGCTGGGCCCGTTTACTGAGAGCCCCGGCTGCCAGGACCTCCCTTGTGAATTACTTTGTCCTGACATCAGAGTTCGAAGACAGGGGACGATGGAAGAAGTGAACACTAAAGCTACAAATTCATCAGCCCACCCTTAAGGGGCACAGTGCCGCTTTCCGTTTAATTCATCTTTGTTATAATTTAAACACATTTACTTGGAAAACTTTTAGACAGCAGTAGCTCTTACAGAGGCTTTGGACACGTTTTCAGAACTAAAGGGTAATGAGACACATCTCCAATGATTTACCCAACACAGGGTGAAATAAAAGAGAACTTTAATCTTCTTGATCGAGGCTGTGGGTATCTTTTTCTTTCTTTCCATCACACAAGTAAGAATTTAAGTGATCCAACATTAATTGTAAAGTTAGAATATTACTACAGGACTGAAATAGAAACTGTTTGTCTAAGAGCAGAATTTAAATTGTGACTTAAATGTGAGGACTTCCATGTTTAGAACCATCCGGCATGGAAACCCAGAGTGATGGTGTTTATGGGTAAATTTGTCCCCTTAGGGTGCAATCTAAAGTGCTAGTCAAAGGAGGGGTAACTTCCTCCACCTCCTGTTTTGATGTCAATGCCAGTGCTGTAAATGTGTGTTCCAGCAAAATGCAGCTTCCAGGCTCTGGCCTCTTAGGAGAACCGCAAGCTCCATTAAGACCTGGATCCTAATAAATAGTTTAACTACAGGATACTTAGCAGATATTTGTGATAAGTCTATTGTACATTGCTGAGATCTCCAGCGTACTAGGGATGACTTTAGAATAACGTATTGAGCCGGGAGTGTAGGAAAATCTTTCTGGCAGAGGAGAAAGGATTGTGCTTTGTATTCAATATACTACTCAGAGAAGGCAGAACAAGCTCTAAATGGGTATTCCCGCTGGTGCCACCCTATAAAAATGATTAAACTCCCTAAAATGAATTCAAATGTAAACAGGTCTGCTTGGGGATCTCAACAATGCAAATATATGCGCTTCTTGAGCTATTTCATGATTTACGATTAATTGAAAGGGGCTACACAGACTGTATTCATGTCTTGTTGTACGGAGACAAAAAAATAATAACTTCAGACGTGAGCTCATTTATCACCGAGACTAAATAAAACGCTTACCATTGGATGGTACTTTTTGGGTGATGGATGCAATAAATACAAACATGGGGACAAGAGGAACTAAATGGCTGTTGGAGCGGTTTCTGCACCGAAAACCTTTAATATTAGATGTCATTTGATTTCTTTGCAGGATTAAGAAAAAACCTGTTCATGCTTCTTTTTTTTTTGTAACATTTACCGTTACATTAAAAGGCACATCTAAGGTGTATTGCTGCTTATTTCAAACAACGGTGTGGTACCTAGCTGTATCACAATGATAGTGGTCAGAAGCTACATTAGAGTGGCTCTCATTCTGCCAACCAGTTTGACAAGTATCCCAGCCATTGTTTTCTCACCTTCTGTTTGCCTGAGAACGCGTGGTAGTAACACGACACATAAGTCATGACGGCCTTCTCATCTGGCCTCAAGGTGCTAATGATATCTGCCCGGGGAAAAGAGGACAGGGAGGGAGGACAGAGAGGAGAAAAATGGAGAGTAAAAGTGTGCAGAGACAAAAGGGGCCAGCAGGGGGCAATATATCGAGTCACAAGTCATCTCCAGTCTACATGAGGTCTGCCTTTGAGTTTGTTGATTTGTACGAAACCTTGAAGTGGTCGTAAAGAGTGAGACATACTAAACGGCATGTTAAGTGGGAGGTGAAAGCGCAAAGAAATTAATAGACGATGATGTTATTAATTCAATACATATCAATGGATTCTTGAGATTCTTTGTGTAATTTCTGGCTAATCTCAGTCACTTATTCAAAATCCACACCGTTTCTTCTTTCCAGACATCTCATATATGTGATGCAACCCAGAGTCGAGTTCACAACAGAGGCCTTCCCACTTTCTCCAGCCATAAACACAGACTTTTTTTTTTTCTTTTTTTTGTGGATTGCTTAAACACAGCTGTTGTGAAATGCTCTCTCAGCTGCCGGGCCTCCATGAAGAGAGCCTGGCTTTTATTGAATGATTATCCTTTTTGAAGAACTGAGATGGGCTCCACAGTGCAATTTCAGGTGTCTTGTTGTGCATCGAGGCGGCTGTCAAATTGGCAGCCTATCGTTAAATGTCCAGCAGAGAGGCCGGCAGCATTCCTACGGAGAAACATAGGAGTCCGACTCCCCATTAAAGCCAGACTACGGGTTCCAATTAAAAGTGAACCGATAGTTTACTGCTCGACTTTGAAGTGCCAGACTTAATTTCATTCATTCCTCCACCCTCAATTTGAGCCGTCACTCTGAAGGCTGAGCGTAACCGACCTGCTAAACGGTTACATCTCCCCCCTCGGTGCCAGACTTCAAGCTAATTTGTATCAAACGCAGCTGTTATCACAGGCAATCATCATCATTCAGATCAGATCAACTTTGCCGCATCTCCCACTCAAATCAGCTCTTGCTCGGCGCAACCAAACTCCAATCGGGGGGGGGGTGCGTTTGAAGCACCGTGGCAAAAAAATGTAGACTGGAGACCCGCTTGTGCTCATTGCCTCTAAGAACACTGATGTTGCTCCGTCATGCATTTGGTGGCGTGAACCATGCGGAAAGTAAAGCAGAGTGACCCCCGCAGGGGGGTGTTGTGCACTGCAGAGAGAAGGATACTGTTAGGAGGCACCCACAGAGGAAGGGGGGAAAAAAAGGGAGAAGGGGCGTGAGAGAGAGAGGAGGAGGGAGATGCTGCATCCAGGATACCTTCTGGGCGCCTGAGAAGGCATGGTAGAAGCTAGAGACGTAGGTCATGATGGCCTTCTCGTCCGGACGGGCAGTGCCCACAATGTCTGTGAGGAAGAGAGGAAGTCAGGGAGGGCGTGTAGGCCGGGGCAGAGGGGAGGGGGGTCGGGAGGGGCTCGGTTTGTTAAATAGAACAGCTGAACGACGGGACAGGAAGAAGAGGTCATCATTTAAAAATTCTGCAAACAAATAAAAACAAACGGAGCTGCTGGTGAGAGCTTGACTAAAAACTTCTCGGTCAGTCCTTCTGAAACAGTTCTGAAACTGTCCTTATTGCCCAAAGCTACCCACTGAGACAGCTCCATATTTGAAGATACGGGATGACGCCATCAAGCTTAATTTATTTGTAGAGAAAGGACTGCATATTTACATTGTGTAGAAAATAGCCTCCCCCTGTGTGCACAGCTGCATACGAGGATATGAAGCCCAAAACATACTCTGTCAAAGAGCAAATAAAGCTGAGTTTTCTAATCTTTATTACAGCGTCTGGATGACGGGTTGGTCCTGCAAAGCCAAATAAGTCCGGACAGCATAGAAATTAACCCTCCTCTCAGGTTTGGAGCTTCATTTTGGTTCAGACTTTTTTTTCTTCCCTATACTTCCGTCAAATCACAAGGAAACTGTGTCATTTTGTTACAATCACACAAAGCTTTGACACTTTTAGATGCAGCAACAAAAACAAAGGAGGAAAATCGAGTTGCGCTGCCCCTCAGCCCTGCAAAGTACCTCAAGGAGAGTATATTTTGGTCTTTTGACACAGGAGAAGGTCTGCTTTCCACGTTACCCTTTTACAGTTCGACCTCCTACCAGCTCACCTTCCGCGTCCAACATTTTGGGGATGTCAAGGTACTTCTCTGCCACATCGAAGGCTGTGTTCAGGTTGGTCATGGGGTCGTCCTGTCAACAGCGAACCAGGAAGCCTTTTAGACACCACTTTCATGACTTTTAACGTGTACTTTGCAGCATTGTGTTAAATAAACAAACCACAAAACAGGAGTGTTAAATCTTTTCATGGCGAAAAGAGGGAAAGGGGGAACAATCAGGCTTTCTGCCTTTCTGGACGGACATTTTAGCTGCTTGGCTCCTCCATTCATAACTTCAGTTTAACGTCAGTTTAAGAACAAAAACACTGACCTTGCGGAGTTTTCCATAGTCAATAAGCTCTGGACGGTGTCGATGAATGAGTGCACAGAAACCCAGGCCGTCTTTCCAGCTAAGTGAGAAAAGCGAACAAAACTAATCAGTTTGAAACTGAGGTGAAATATAATGAGATGTGGTCAAATAAAAAGAACCTGACTTTAAACTTTAGAGAGGCCAATTTTTTTCCTTTTGTCTCTTAAATCCGGTTAATGTAAAACATCCAGTAACTATCCCAGATCGATGAGGTGTGTTTTGTTGTATGCAACAAGTGTTTCCATATGAAGCTTCAACCTATTAGAAATGACGTATTTCTTTTTTAAATAATTTTTTTATTTGATTTGAAGTATCTGGAAGATTTCGTTTTAATAACTGGGGATGTCAAAGGAGACTGGAAGGTGGTTCGGTGTGTGCCTGTTCAAAAAAGGATAAAACTTTTGAGCATTGTGTGAAAGTGACCAATTACCAATTTCAAAAAATATTTTCAAGGATAAAACAAAATAGGAAATTACAGTCTGTTAGCATTTGTCAGACAGGTCCTGGAGCGTGTTCACACAAAAAGAAACTGGTGCTCGGACACTTTCTTACAATGACCAGACATGGTGCCACCGCACTGCTTTTCTTGAAGCTTTCCAGGCCATTTTTCTTGGCATGTGGACTCACGATGAAAACTCGGACTGAGGAACCAGTATTCACTGAATACAAAACCCAACTGGATCTACAAATACCACAAAATACCAGCTTCTCATAGAAACATACAGGGCTGTTGTCTATGACATTTAGCTGAGTCTTATTTCAAGCAACTTGTGATTTCAGGACATTTCTTTTGTTCTCCAATGAATTATAAAGGAAATGCATCTAAATGCTCAACTGTGTACATGGGCTTGCATGTTAGGTGCCACTGTGCATATAAAGTGTATTTTATGGCTTCAAGAAACCAGAGCTCATGGATACAAGCTAACAAAAAGAATGTGCAGTAGAAAATGCGAGACATTATGGCTAATTTAATTTTCTAAAGCTTAGATATCATGGGTTTGGTTCTCGGAAGGATATTTTCATTTTGGCCTTCTTCAGTTCATTGATTACTACCGTCACTGGTTCCAAAACCAGCCTGCTTTCCAAAGTGCAGCATCTCGGTTTGGAGTGGTAGAAAATTGATCGATCCTCTGTGCTTCAAGAATAACAAGGAGGGGCTATCTGAATGCATCACTGCTTATAAAAGGTAACTATACTACATGAGAGGCTATTTAAGGGCTTTTTATACTGTAAGTGCTCTGCACTCCTCATCTGCCTCTCATCTCCTGACTGAGATGCAGCTGCTGCTATCATCTCTTGCAGAAAGCCCACATCAAAGGCCCAGCCGACCCTCTGACAGCCTCTTTCCTCTGCCTCCCTCTCTTTACCTTCTGTTGAAATGACCTCAGCTCCACCTTTCGCCTCACCACAGCTTTCATCCACATCTGAGCATCACAGGGACCCTCTTTCAATAATTCAGCACACACTGAGATCATATGACAGGGATGAGGGTTTAAGCCCACTAAAGGCTATGAAACAGCACTATAAGGACAGGTGTAACCACGTCTTGTTTGAATGTAACAAAATAAAATATAATACACTTTTGGATAATTGCCACTTCTTGTCTTGGATCCTTTCTGTTCTTGCTTTCAGGTAGTCTCTGTTCACCACCAGCCCTGTTTAATGCCCCTGCACTAATCTGTACCATGACAAACGTTTGATGTTTAACACCTTTATGTTATCTTGGTGTTCTCAAGATGCAGTTTTCTGTAAAAATCCTAACTGAACCAGGCAAATTTTAAAAATCAGATTTTATCAGCATTTGCAATCGATAACATATTTTACCACCAAAACTAACATAGCGGATTAACCCTGCAAAATCTTTCCTTGGTTTTCCTGAACGGAAGTAAATGTGGTATATAAAAAACAACTTGCAGCCTAAACACAAAAACAAAATCGGGGACCGAAAATGCAACACTTTTTGCAGGCATTCTGAAAATATCTGGTCCAAAAATTCTGGCATATTCCAACAAGACAACATGCCACTGCTGTTTTACAAAAGAATATCCATATTATAAAAGAGTACAACTTTCTACTGTATCTAACGAAAGGGTCTAGACATGTATAAAGGAGTACAGACGCCTGTTCATCAGTCTCTAGGAATGCTTTCAGTCCAATCCAGTCACAACAAGCATAGTGTCTCCACAACGTTAACGCACCACTTTGATTGGGCCAAGAAACGCCAATGATCTTGCTCCAGCAAAAATGTATCATTCCCTTTTCCAACATACTGTTACTTTATTGCTGGTACTGTTTATAAAAATCCAAATTTAGGCAAACATTATGTTCTCGTGTATCCAACTCTGAGGGCATGAAGCCTTGAATGTAAATATGTGGTCAAGTGAAATTTCTAAAAAGCCCATTATTTGATATAAATTGGCAGTTTAAACAACAAAGAATCACAATAAAGAAACATTTATAAAATGAACAGAAGGGTTATTCTCACATGCATCTACATGAAATGATGTTCATTTTTTCCAGCCTTCCAACCAAAATTTCCCTCCACAGACTTCAGCGTTTGCCTCCACAAATCCTTACCTGATGTGAAAGTTTTGGATGTTGACGTTCTTGTAGGGCGCCGTCTTCCTCTGGCACCACAGCAGGAGGCCTTCTTTGGCAGAGGTCTCTGTGGTTTTGGAGAAGAAATCATTGTGAAGCTGGAAAAACTCTCAGCCTTTTGCTTCCACACTGAACTAATCCCTGTTTAGTGGTGGATTAAGTGGAAGTAAAGTGAATGTGTGACTGCTCGGATGAATCGTGCTCTCTTTTTTTCCACTGGATACAAAGAGGTGTTTGGTACAGTGCCGTTCCCACACAGAAAAGCAAAATCCTTCAAAGTGCCCAGTGAAATTCTAGGGATGAACAAATCAAGGCTCATCATAGGTGACATTTAAAGTGGATTACACGGTAATGGTTGGACCATCTTGCGAACACCTTTACATTAAAAGAGCACTCTCTTAAACACTATTCAAATCAACACGCATCATTTCAACTTCTACACCTTCTATTGTTTTGGCAAGAAAATACTTTCAATTGCAAATTATGAAGGTGTTCCAGCAAACACTTATTTATCTCCAACCCCTGTGTGTTCAAACAGTGTGCTCAGGTCAGCTTTTTCAGCTCCACTGTGGTCTGGTGTATTACAGGTCATAAAGTTTGCACTTAGAAAGAGTATATTTCTAATAAATAAAAAACCCTTTTGGATTAATATTTATTCATAATTTCCCTACAGTCCCCACAAGTAAAGTGCACTCCAGGATTCAGACCACACAGGAAAAAGATTTTACCTTCCACAGAAATGTCTTGGATGGCGAAGCGGAGGATTATAGTCCAGATCATTCCCAGGGTCATCTTGGCATTCCCATCTACAATCTCTGGAGAAAAAAAAAATACAAACAAATGTTTTACAATATACACATTTACAATTGCCTTCAATCAGGCCAGTTTTTTGCCTTTTGAAATAATTAGCACTGGTCAGTAATTTCATAGATCTGGCAGTTGATTATATCATGATAATGGATATGAAGAACTTATGAGAGGCCCTTGACAAAAAGAGGTACCAATTAAGAAAAAGAAGTGTCCTGGATCATAGCTATTCCCAGACTTTCTCTATTTAGCCCTCCGCTATTTTTTAAGTACTTTAAGTACTTTAAATATTGTGTAGCTGGGAAGTCACTGTTCACATTTGCAGACATATTTTGTACATTGACATGTTCTCTTTCTAGTTTTAAGACATTATTTGAGGCTAAGATGACTGAAGGATCACATAATACATCTAGAATTATTTTTTTGTTGCAAAGCCGTACATGTGAAAGATCTAAAGCGTTACAAAATCCAGACTCCTCACCAAAAGGGAGTTATCTTCTTTTGAAGAACAGTTGCTTGTTAAGTGTCGGAGTGTTGGAAATGCCTCCGTTTGAGGTCAAGGCTTTTCTTCCTGCACTTGATGACATCAGCAAGGAATTCGCTTGTCATGCCAAGCACTCAAACAAGAAATGATCACTGCTACATACAAACCATTTCTGACTAAAAAGCTGAACAGTCAGGACTTTCGGGGTAAAGTCTTAAAGAGACGGGAGCTCAGCGGGGGGGAAATATGGGCAGAAGATATCAAAGAATGCTGGAGAAACACAATAATAGAAACATAATGTGTTCCTAAACTGTTAAGCACTTAAATCTAATTATCCTAAAAAATTTAATTTGAAACTTAAATAGGACAATTATATACCTATTTAATAATATGTATCATCTATCTTTCCTATGCAAAAGCTCTCTCTCTCTCTCTAGATGGTCCGCTTTTTTGTCTATTAAAAGCTAAAAGCCTAAATCAAATATGTGGATGTTCCTTGAAGCTTTTGAGTATTTTCATTTGCCATATTACAATAAACAAAAAAGCCTACGGGGTTAGAAAGTACCATCATCATGTCTACTCATGGTAACCTGCACAGCTCTTGGAAGTATGTGTTGGCCGCAAAGACAATTAACTGGCTGCATAATGTGCTCATAAATCCACACAGTGTTTATACATCCCAGCCAGAGCTGTCCACCTCCACTTGTGCCTTTTTAAAATAAATTACTCATTTACAGCCCTTAGGAAATATGTTCCTTTTTTTTTTTTAGGTAAATACAAAAAATATTCAGGCCACCAAGTTCTTATGACAGCATTTGATGAGAATTCCAAGTATCTGCATTCCACAAGGTCAGCTTGCTCTTTGACACATAATGACCACGTGATAATACTGATATTACTACAGTCAGAGTAACACTGGAACTTTCTTTGGCTCCACATGGCTAATCTCTGTATTACCTCATTCAACCACCACATAGCTAAGCTTTGTGAATGAGAAATGCCACGATTCGATCATCTGACCGTAGACCCGTTAAGCTGTCAGAGAGTCTTCAGCTGGAGGCCGTGAATGAACGGGCCGTGTCCAGTCGTCTCAGTGTTGTCAATAATGAAAAGCCCCTTCAACGGGTCACCCTGTTAGCCCGCCTTCAATAATCATTCGTTTCTCCCTCTAATCCAATAAGACCGTGAGCACGGCAGCTCGGCTGTGACGGACAAACTTGGCCTGTGAGATACCAGTCAGATGTCTGGATATGTAACGTGGTGTGAAAGACCGCTCGGATCGAATTAGGCGGCAGAAAAAGTCCAGCTCGCTGGTTCAGGGTGACACATGCAGATCATGTCGAGATTAGCTCTAATGAACATGACTGATCCACCGGAGGGGGGAGGAACACAAATCCAGCTAATTCCATTTGAAACTGCAACCACCCACCCCATTTTTATCCTTCAACAAACCCCCCGATGAGCAGCGTAGGCCTGAGCCTTGGGCTAGTCCCATCCCACCAGCACTGTAACAGCTAGCGGGGAGCTGGGCTGGATGACCAGGAGGGGATTCCAGGCAGCTAATCTGTCTGGAATGCTCGTCTGGCTTAGGAGCTCATATACCAAACTCTGCGCCACGCAGAATAACTCCACGTAATTTATGTCAGTTCAGGAACACACAATTGTTTTGTTGGAAGGGGTACACGTATTTGGTGATTTAACAACTGTCTGGGTTCATTTCTTCAGGTGTGAATATTTTAGTTTTTGGACCACTAGAATAAGTCACTGCAGGACATAGCCATGAGTTGTAGAAAGGTGAAGTCATTAGTTTCCTCTTTTAACCATTCACTCCTAATCTTCAGACAATCTAAAAATCGGCAAATTATTGAGAAATGCCCCCTTGCTTTGAGAGCTAAAGCTTCTTCTTTTTTAAACACATGAAGGTCACATTTTCTTTCAGTGTTTGTTGAGACTATGTTTTGAGATGTGGTGAAGCAATATAAATTCAAAACTGGATTAGGAGCTTCAGGTAAACATGAACCATAAAGCCTTGGATTCCATTATTTGTTACATCTCAGTCTTCATCTCCGTCTGTTCCTCACATCCAGCTCGTCAAAATGATCAAAATACCACCACAAATATCGAACCGTATAATAATGCACATTCATTTCACAAGCATTTTGTGATATCAAGTACTAGAAAAAGGCTGAAAGTAAAAAAAAAAGGAGGGATTAGAATAATTTTAACAATTGTTTGGGTTTTACCTAGAATAGGAAGAATAGTGTGGGAGTCAGCTCAGGGACATCTTGTTACAGGGAAATATGTCAGGAGGAGTAGGTAGCAGAAGATAAGTGCTTAACTTTCTTAGGTGGCAATGGGCCAGAATAAGGAAGTCTCTTTGTAATCCGAACTCTATGTTTCTTGTGTTTAGGTTGACTTAGTTGTCACCTGCATTAAAAGAATGACCAACCCAGAGAACAGGAAGTTTAAGGGGCATATTTATTCTTTGATAATCACTCATAGCACTAGATTCTCTTCAGCAACACACAGGTCTGCTCGACCCTATAAATGACTGTGTTGGAGTAAAGCTGGACTTTTAAAATTCACGTAAACATGTAAAGACTGCACACAGCAAAGCTTTTCAAAAGTCTGCTGAACTTAACCAGACAATGTAGCAGCTGAGGCCTTTGAGGGTTGCAGAACTGCACGTCCAACATTTTGAGATCATTTGGGGAGGGACACGCTTTCTGTTGGTGGCAACACACGTGTGTGTAAAATGCTGTCGACTCCAAAAACAACCAAAGGGTGTGTGTAACTGTGAAAGAGGAAGACAGATAAAAAAAAAAGAAAGAGATAGCAAGATTGCGAGAGAGTGGAGCGTTTACTCCGCTAAATACTTGTTTACCCTCTGAAGGGAGGAGGACTGACATATTTAAGTTATTTGTGCTGAACAATGAGCTGCTTTAGCCCCTGAAGGGGATTGCTGATCCTGAGATCTAGTCTCGGTAAATGCACTGAAAGCACAACCTCCACCAGAAGACCGAGGAATAAGGATCTCATTAAAGTGCACAGCAGCCAGCAGCTCTACCATGGTAACAAGATAGAGGGTGGGTCTGTGGCCGCATAATACAGAACCATTTACAACTGAACAGCAGCAACAGACTTGTTTGGCCTGATTTATATCAATGTGAAATCTGAGGCGTAAACAAATGTGCTTTATCTTTCGGCACAAATTTTGTCCGCTGGCCAATCGCGTGGCACCACTCACCTTCTGCTCCAATAGAAACCAGCTTTACTCCTTTACTGGCAATGAAGTCAAGCGCTTTGTTAACATTGGAGATCTTGTGGACTCTCATCTTGCCTCTCTCTGGTTTGGCCAAGCGTTCGCCTGAAAACAAAAAACAAAACAAAAAAAGTATTTATTCCCAGCACTACAAATATACCTGAGTAGCCATTTCCCAGTAAATAGCAAAAACTGGATCACAAAATGTAATTACTACAAACATTATTTCATCATTTTTCTTTCGGTTATCCATCAGTGGAGGACACTGACCGCCTATTATGTCAAGCTGCACCTCCTTAATAACTGACTCACAAGAAAACGATTGCAATGGAATCAAAATCCATGAAAAAGTGTCTTTTAAGTTTAAGTTTTCAAAACGGCCTCCAAACCAAACAATTACAAATTGTCCATAACTATATCAGACATGATAAGCCAGAATTTTACCAAATGGGCGCCAAGTAGGATAGAATGGATAGTTGAACAAAACCCCAAAAAAGAATGTGGTTGTGGACTGAATTGTGTCCATCTCAGATGAATAAGGAGATCTGCTTATAGACTATTTATGAGTGGCAGAATCAGCTCTCACATGGCAAAAACCTCTTTTACATTTAAGGATGTCAATCAGCAATCTGTTGGAATGTCTGATACAAGTTTACCACAGGTAGGCAAATCAGGACTCTGCTGCCCTCACCTCCCATTGTCCCAAATACTGCATGTTATGAGCCATCAGACTGAAGCCCACACAGAATGTATTCATGTGTGCTGTGTGTTAAAAACCTCATCCACTAAAATGTCCAACTCGTCATCGGCAATTTTCATCAGATATTCTTATGGGTCTTTATAAATTTGAAGGATTTGAGCTCAATCTCACCCTCTGACTTATCCAACAATGAAAGATAAGATTAATTTCATGAAATGGTAAACTACTCCTATGTGGTTAAACTTCCCAACATAAACGCATTTATGTTGAGTTTCTGTTCAGTAAGAGGCCTTTTACCTGAGATGACCTCCAACAGCAGCATGAGTTTGAGTCCATCCCGGAAGTCCTCTTCGATGTTCTCGATCTGCGTGCCAGCTTTCCTCAAGTGAGAGTTGCACCAGGCTGTAAACGTCTACGGAAACAGGAAAGAAAAGATATAAATCTTCACAAACGGGCATTTTATTCATTGCCAAACCCACAGTACCTCTGCTGTGTCCATAAATCCAGGTTAAGCAACCCAGGTGTTTACAGATGTTGAGCTAGCTACCAGAGGTTGTTTATAATGAGTTATTAAATACTTATTACCCTACAATGTGCACAATAAAGAAACCGTTTTCCACAGTGCAGCTATTTTCAGTCTGGGCCAATAATAATCCGCAGGGTCAGGCTGCTGCTACCTGAAATCTCTGCCTAGCACGTCTGTGAATGAGACATCCCTTGTGGAGGTGTGAGGGAGTTTCCCAGCCAGGACTCGTTAAATGCGTTCCATGCTGGTTTATTCGCATTTTCTCACCCTTCCACCTTTTTCCTGGGGATGCAAACAAGCTTTGCCCTCGGCCCCTTTCTTCGCGGGCGCACGGCACACAGGAGCATTGTGCGGCGTGCAGTAGGTGTAGCCATGCGGCTCGGGCTCGCTGGCATGGCTGGCATGCGAGCGTGCTAACGGAAAACATCTGGAGCGGGATCCAGCGCCGAAGGGAACAAAAGCCACTTGAAAGTCGGGCCGGCTCGGTTGCGGAGCGCTTGCGGGACTTCCGCGATGAGGTCACCGTTAAAAACAGACCGGGGTGAGGTTTACGTGGCTATCAATAAACTCCCATCGGGTTCGGAGTCAGGCGGGTTTGCCGGCACGTGGTGAGGTTTTCCAGCTAGGGAAAGACATTCATGGAAAGCTCTCTGGATATCGCGCAGGAAGTCGAGGGAGGGAGAAAAAAAAAAGGACAGATTATATGGTGTGTTATCTTCAAGAACACAATTGACAGAAAAAAAAAAGACCAGAGCAGAAGATTTACGAGCAGCAGACAAACACCCTCAGCTCATGAGATATGGTAGGGTTAGCAGGCAGGGAGCTAGTTCAGATTACCCCTAATCAACGGCTCATTCGGAGCTTTCCAAAGAGGGTTAACTACCAAGGCTGATCTTTGGTGTCAGCAGCTGGCGTGAACGCTGTATAATTTAATCAGCGTGTTCAGATACGGATGATTGCTGGCTCTGTGGTTCAGATTATCGTGCCGTGACGCCACGTCTTTCAGCCTTGCCCTTTGCCGTCGCTTTCTTCTTCACTTTCCCAGCGAAACCCACCAGAGAAACAGCTTTAAGAGTTCCTGGCTAATCGCCGACGTGCAACATTAAACCGGTTAATGTGTTCATACACGATCGGCAAACAACAGGCTGGTTTCCAACTAGCAACAAAGAGCCTAGGTAGAAATAGCAAATCTATGGCCGTTTTCAGAGATCAAATGAATACATTTGTACTCTGTGGCAAAGATTTAACTAAACTACACAGTCAGATGGCAAAGAGCAGAGTTGTGAAAATGACTTGAAGTCCACGGGAGGAATGTTAGCTTGTTAAATGTGCGGGAGGGAGGAGTTTGACCGCTCCGGGCTGAACTCCGCCTGACCAGAATTAGCCCGCCCTCCTGCAGTTCCTCGAGCTCTCTGGGTCACGGTGGAGTTTGGCCGCAGTGGTGGGTCCAGTCCGAGCTGGCAGCCACCTGCAGCCTCACATGACCCCACGGGAGTTTTAGGTGCTCCTGGGCTCAGTTCCTGTTCCAGAAATCAACATGGTAAACAGCCCCGTGGTAGCTACTGCCACTGGGATTTGAACTGTTAAGCAAGTCCACAAGTTTTACTTTTTGTTATTTGCTCTATTTTAAAAATTCCTCTTCTTTTCAATGTGGATTATTCTGTTTTAAAGCTCATTACTCGCACATTTATGATCTACTTTAAAATCATTCCCTGCTCATCAATCTAATCTTTAATATGTGTTGGAGTTCAAAGTTTCCTGACAGAAATGGAGAGCAACGACGGCAACAACTAGCAGCTTCACGTCGCTGCTGCTACAGGCGACACCACAAATACGAAGCAAGGCATCATTAAGTGTTGTGTTGTGTTGTGTTGTGTTGTGTTGTGTTGTGTTGCTCTGACGTCCCCGCCCGGGAGCTGTGCTGGGATCAGTGGCATCAGGAGTGTGCAGTCACTGGGGTTTTCCCCAGTGCCTTTGAGAGCAATTTACATGTTCGGAATCAGCACGAGTAGTGAAACTTCCAACAGCTAGACACAATGTCTGGCGTTATAAAAATGTATTCAAATATCTTGTCTGACTGTTGTTGACTTAAACATTTCATTAGTGGTGGTAGGAGCAGTTTGAAGTGACCTCGGTTAAAGATGCTGATAGTCTGTGTCTAATAAAATCAAGAGCAAATGCTGTCCAAGAAGAAAATCGTATCTTTCTTGCCCTTACTGGATAAGAAAACATACAGAAAGAAAAACGAAAAAAAAGGGCCAATGGCCAACGTCAACAGAACGCCCCGAAACACTAAAACCGATCTTTAAATCTAAATTTCGAGTAGAAGCGGCTCCAATCTGCTTCCAAACTGTCGGCGGTATGAATGTAGAGTGAGGCGTACAGTGCCCAGCCAAACACGACGTGGTGTGTGTCGTGCGTGACGCCTGTGAACTCCGTGTGCGAGTGTGTCGTCCTTGTACAGTTTGTGTCGGTACGGCATGTGCTGTGAATCTCTGGGAGCTGTTAACATGTCTGCTGCAGGGTCCCGCGGAGCCGTTGCTGCCGGGGGAAAATTTGTTTTCGACGCTGCAGTTTGCACACAATCTGTTTCGGCTCTCTCCGGCAGCGTGTGGTATAGCGGAGCGGAGCCGGAGTTAGACCCACTGCCTGGCTGTGTCTGTGGGAGGAACTGGTTGGTCGTAAATTTCGAGGCCCTGTCCCCCCCCTTTCCCTCTTCCTCTCCTCTCTGTTCTCGTCTGCCTCCCCTCTTTTCCCGCTGGTCTCAGCCTCCCAGAACTGAGGCGGGCTGTAAAAACAACAGGGGTCAGGAGAGAGAGGGAGGAATCTGCTACGCATCAGCTTCGGGGAAAGTTGCCCGCCGGCATTATTCACTTTTTTTTTTTTTTCCATGGCAACTGCAGAAGGTGCAGTTCGGCACTAGCGGATGGTGATCGGCATGGATACCGAGCTCAGAGCGGTAATCGTAAAGAGGACAAGAGCACGCTAGAGATTTATCAGAAACAGACAATAAAACCAATCTCTTGAGGCAACCAGTCCTGACCAACTATGTGACATGTGATACTGTGATGGTGATAACAAACTCCAGAGATACAAAGAGGCAGAACCTGTCGCTAGCAATGAGTTCACTGACCAAACAATGAGCAAAGAATAAAAAAAAGAATTTCTTTAAAAAAGTTTTGAAGAAATTTCTTGTTCTGATTGACCAACAAGTTCAAATCTAATTCTGGATAAAACTGAAAACTGTCAAACCTAAATAGACTCCCAGCTGCTATTGAGTATTGCTCAAAAGGCTAAATGTCCCCACAACACATAAAGTCAAATATATCTTTTTTAATGTGCCCATCATCCTTTAGTAAGACGTAAGTGATGGATTCAACCAAAATGGCCATCACAACCCAATGAGATGTAGCATAGTGTGGAGCAATAACATCACTAAGTAGGTAGGACAGTCTAATTATTTGATGTGTAAGCTCAACCATGTTATGTTATGTTAGCATTCAGTGTTGCTAAGCGCTAACATTAGATAAGGCCTAACAGCGTTGTATTGAATAGCATTTCTACGTTTTAGTTACATTTTCAGGAGAGGCAGCTAAATGTATTCTAAGCTCATATTATTTCACCTTCATTCTTTTCATACATCTCAAGTTTAGATTTTTATTTTTGACTGAATTCCTCAGTAGCAGACGATGAACTTCAATGTCATGCGAGCAGTCATCATTTTGAACTTTAGAGAACACTTTAACTGTCCCAAGCTAAAAATGTGTTATTTTTAGTTACTAATTTTAACTACGAGTCAGTTGGCATTAATAGTTACACAACCGGCCTTTGATAATCATTTCGAGCTTTCCCTTGTAACTGCTAAAACCACCTTTAATTTATTTTAAACAGTAAATCACCTACTTTAAAAGCCAACTATCTGCTCTCGCTCTTGTTCCCAACTTCCTCTTCCCACTTCTTATTCTGCTCCCTGCCTCCCTCCCCGCCCACCGATTTTCCCTCCACTCCATTAATCAGCCTCATTTAGGAAAATATTTCCTGCTTCTCTGCCAGTTCCATATTAGTACAATCCTTTGACTGAAACAAGCCAGCTCATGAGTGGGAGACCCTGCCATAACCAAACACATGGGCAGGCAGACATTTTTGGCTGGGTGTCTGATACAGGAAGATGGTTTTCAACATCGTGGCCAGTTTCTCAGCTCTCGGCCTCTCGTGTCCTGACGAAACCCCAGAGCTGGGAAGATAAATCATTAGAAAAATGTCTAAAACAACAGACTTCCAACATGACTCCAAAATGTTCAACAAATATGGTAAAAAGGCACCATGAGGAGTTAGAAAGCAGTAAAACATATCCTTTTAAACAGAAACCGCAGCTAAACTGAATCATGCTCGGCAACTGGAACCGTTGAGATGAGTTTAAAGGGGAAATTGGCCTCTGTATCTCCCCGGGAGGTAAAGTGTCATTTCTCTTCTGTTAAGTCTATTTCCGCTGCCTTGGTTTCACTTGGGCTCGTGGAGGCCAGAAAGTGCCTGTGGAAAGAGTTTTGTGAGCCAGGAAAACAGAGCTGCTAACACCTTCCTCCATCTCAGACTCCCAGAAGATTTCCTAACATGTGATGGATCAGAGCATTAAATTCATCCGGACAGGCTCCCAGAAAGCACGTTCAGATCTGAAAGGCATCCTGGAGGAAGAGATTCAGCCTTTATCAGTTCGTTTAATTGCATTGTATCATGAGCAGATTCGACCGGAGGGCAAAACAAACCAAAACAAATCTGTCAATCCGAGATCAGCTTTAATCAAATTTGACTGTACTGGTGTGTAACAAGACAATGAGATGCTGACCTTTTTCTAAACTTGTATTTCCATAATTGGAAAACATCATGAAGTTGAGTCAGAACTAGTTAAATGTTGCTGCAGCAATGAACATTATGCATTAAAGCATGAAGCACTATTCCAAAAGCTCCAAAGAAAAAAAAAAACTGTTGAAGAAACAATATGTAACACAAAGTTAGCTCACAGAGTGGGCTGCCCATCTTTACTTATAAAAGACTGTTGGGACTGTGGGGATTGTAGTTAGGCCTATTAAAAAGGTAGATATGGCAGCTTTCTATATGCATCTTTAACAAAAAGTCTAATTTAACTGCACACAAATTTATTTCAAGAAGCAGTGATTGCAATTGTATGTTAAATTTACCTGAAAACAAACTTTCAGGAGGAGCATAAAGAGATTATTGCCCCATTTTTCACTATTTAGTCAAAAATGGTAAACGATAACAAAAATATATTCAAAGCAGCAAAGCAGACGTGACCGTGCATGTTTCTGACAGAACCGTCAGCTGATATTGGCTTCAGACGTAACCGACATACAAAGTAACATCCAAAAGCCGTCCGAAA